CTAGGCTCGTGGTGGGGGCGCCCACGGCCACCTGGCCCGCCAACGCGTCGGTGCTCAGTCCCGGGGCCATCTACAAATGCAGGATCGGAAGGAACCCCGACCGGACGTGCGAACAGCTCCAGCTGGGTGAGTTGGGTGTGGGAAAAGGAGGTAGTGACCCCTCTTCCCTCGAGGACCCCACTGGAGGACAAATCCTGGAAAAAGTTGTGACCCCAGTTTCTTCTCCTTCCCCAACTCTCTGGGGGCATTTTTCTGCTTTTAGCATATGGCATGAGTGCGCTACGGTGACAAAACTGCGATGGGAAAGTTTCTTAAGCTCCGTCTTCTTTCACCTCTCCCCTTCCTCCATGTGTGGAGCACAGTATAGACTCAGCGCGTTAAGGACAGCCCCGCTAAGCGAGACTTACTGACCTATTAACTTTGTTAAAGAACAGGCTAAAGAGCAGAGGAGGCGTAGCAGCTGGAATTGATCCCATAGTCTGTCATTTCAGCCTGAGGGCTTTTGGAGTTGTCCTTCAAAGGAAGTGATGCAGTTTTACATAGAAGATACAGTGTAAAAGAAGAGGGTAAAGACAATTTGGCGTCTCCATGGTTAATTAACGTGAGGTTTAAGATATAATTACTAGTTTTCCTTTCCCCAAACTCCCATGCTCAGTGAGCCTGTCGTTGTGCTGTCATTTCTTAATGTCTTGTCTTAGGTTTGCGCCAACTTGAAAATGTGCACTGGTGGGGGAGGGGAGAAGTTTCGCATTTCAAAGTCAGAAGTCCATTTGCTGCAACAAATATGCGAAGAAAAAAAAGGGGAACCATATTAATTCAGACCTATCTTGTTCCAAACACTGTCAGGCACTGCTGCATATACTGCTTAATTTTTGCCCCCGCTGAGAAACCCTGTTACGTATTGTTCCTATTTTATGAGGCCTTGGACTTAGAGTTGGGAATACCTTTACTGACCTTGTGAGTGGCAGGTGTGATTCCAAGACAAAATCAGATTTGCTTGGGTACAAAGTGTAAGCCTTTTTATTTCATATATGTATCTTTAGCGCAAATAATTAAAGAAAGGCTCCAGGATGTTGTGTGCTGAACTGATACACCCTCTGTAAGGGGGGAATAGAAGGTCACAACTGGTACTTTTATCCTATTTTTCTTCACTGTAGATAGACTTTTGAGAATAGCCACTTACTGCACCTTTAACTACTCTTTCAAAATGGCAGTCTTTGCTTTTTCTCAAACTGTGGGGCTGATTTCCTTCATTCAGAAGAATTCAAATAGAGCATGGCCCCAGGAAATTCTTTACTTTTCTCTCAGAGCACCCTTGTCTGTAGCACGCAGAGCAGGACTCAGCCTTCCGTAAGCATTCTCCTCCCCAAGCACAGATGAGGGATGCATAAAACATTCTCAGACCAATAGGTGGGAATCGTTTTGAAAAGCTGGACTTTCATTTCATGAAAGGATGGTGGGGAGAAGAACTAGGGAGCGAAGCAGTCAACCTGGATCTGCCTGAGGGTCTTGCCAGTGTCTCCGTAGGGTACAATTCTTTTTTGTTGTTCTGCCGTAGTTTCCCGGTCTGTGCCATTATAACTGTCACTATTTAGCACCTATTTCCTGTCTGCACAGGCACAGAATCTATTTCTGGATGTGTATGTTTAACTGAAAGGATCATGTCACAATATTCCATAAAATTTTAGACAATAAAGGCTGTTGTTTGAGGGAAAATGAAAATTCACTGGGCATTTAGAGTGTATGGATTGACTACAGCAATTTTCTTAAGAGACGTGTGGCCTTGGTAGATGTATAAAAAACATAAATGGAAATTTATTGCAAGGATAAAGAAAAGTGAAGTGAAAGTTTGGCCTCAACCTGACTAGTGAGTAAGAGAATTCATTAGAAATGATAAGCCAAAGTGATATTTTAACTTTCAGAATGTTGGTCAATATAAAGTGAACTTACATAGATGAGGGGCAAAAGGGAATACAAAATTCCTCGTCAACTGGTTAAAATATTCATAGCTGTAGAAATAGTTCTAAATATTTGTAAAATCATTTCCTAAAGTTATTTCTTTTTTTTCTAGAGGTTTGGCACTTTTAGAATTCCTACAGTACATAATATTTACATTCATTTCATGGCGGTACAGGTACACAGCACATCTTAATTGCTCTTACCATTTCCCTTGCCTTCTCTCCTTCCCTCTTTCCTCCATCTGTCGATCCCCTGCTCATTTCATTTGAGAGATCTATCTAGCTTATGTATTGCATAGTTTCTCTTCTATGAGAAACGAAACAGCAAAACAAAAGGTAGAAGTAAAATGACTGAAGTTTTTTCTCATGTAACGTTCTCAACAGTACATCTTTTCGTCCTTATATAAAGCAACTGTCTCTATTAGAGCAAATTCAGAACTAACTTAAAGCTATAAGAGAAAAGATTGAGCCTATAGTCTGGAAAGAAAACACTGAAAATAATAAACGGATACAGATATCTTAGGATTGTAAGGTTTGTGGAGTATGTACTATTTCTTATGAAGAAGTTTTGTGCAGGGCACACACAGAAACATAGAGAACGTTCTATGTAAGATAGCTTTAACTATCTTGTCTCAACTGTCAGTAATTGTAATGTTTGGAAAATGTTCGATACTTTGGAGATATTAAAAAATATGAGTTTATTTACTTTCTACTTAAATTTATATGTGTGAGTCATCTGTAAGTAACAAGTCAGTGTAAAGAAATGGGCTGTGCTAGTTAGTTTTCCCATTTCCCATTTTGTAGTTAGTTTTTCCATTTCCCATTAGGGTGGGTATCACCCTATATGTGATACCCAAAACTTAAAGGAGAAAGTTTTATTTGGTTTACGGTTTTCAGGAGAGCCAGTGCAAGGCAGGAACATCACAGCAGTGCACAGCTGCTTAATTAATGGCATCAGGAAAGCAAAACAGGGCAATGGTGCCAGTGAAGAAGGGGTCAGGAGCAGTGTGTGGTTCACATGGTGCTGCCTCCATGGCCCAGCCAGATGCACTAAGAAGAATGCTTTCCTCACCCCTAGTTAGCTGCCATGCCAGTCAAGTTGACAGTTCAGCTTAAACTTCACAGGGGCCAATCAATGAATGAAACCAAATGTGAAAAACTTAAATGTGTGAGTTAAAAGATGATGGTTGAGCTAAAACTTGACAATAATATTTTCTTGTTATCTCATCAAAAGTGTTAGAAGGCCATGCTATAGTTGTTGGGACAGAAAGGTGTCCCATTTCATTTGGAGTCACCCGCTGTTGTGAATCTGAAGGTACAGGGCCTCAGAACGATGCTAATCTCCTATGAGATTCAGAACATCTGTGTCCACTCTTCTCCAAGTCTCTCTGTGGGATGTCACAGCAGTGGCTCATTCGGATGGACTCCTTTTCTGAGAAGAGGAGGTTACTAGCTCCCCATTCTACCATACCCTGCAGATGATATTGTATACCCTGCTGTATTTACTGTAACCATCATCTGAATCAAGCTATAAGTGCCCATCTATCTGGAATGCTCAGGATGGGAGATGCTAGGAGTTCCTGTTTAGAAAGTGAATTGACCGCAGAAGCGGCACCAAGACAACTGCCTGTATTGCACCATAAGGTGCTTTTCTTCCTTCACATTCAGGCTGCTTTCAGGTCACTGTCTTCCGGAGAGGTGTCCCATCTTACTTCTTTTATAATTCTCTCTGTAAACCAGAGGAAGGTGATCATAAAAACTGGGGTGGCTACGGTGATTCCTACATGTCTACCTCTTTTTCCATCCAGAACTCTGTGTCTTCCTGAGGTTTGCTGAAGGAAACTTTGATCACAAATGCTTCCTGAATCAGGGAATTACCAATAGTGACTCCACTAATATAGTTACACATGGTCTATCCATGGACTGCCCATAGCAAAGAATTAGAATATAATAAATCAATAATTATCAAATTGTACTTACAAGTCTTTGATTATTCGAAGGATACTCTAGATCTTTCCTTATTTTGATAGCACATACACACACCTGGACAGTAATGCAACCATTAGTCGGATGTGGCTCTTCAGCACATGCAGTTACTACAATGAGTGGGGCCGTAATGTGAGTTACAGTCCAGATTTCAAAGCCACAGTACAAAAAACTTAAGACATTGATTACATTTGAAAGAAATACTTAAAGTCAATATTTTATTAGTCATTTTCCCATTGCTGGTACAAAATAGGTAACACATACAACTTAAAAGAGGAGAGGTTTGTTTTGGATCATAGTCTCAGAGAATTTAGTTGGATTCAAGGCAGAAGTGGCACAGTAGAAGGGCATGGGGGAAAACTGTTCAACCTATGGTGGCCAGGAAGGGAGGAGCTAGGGACAAGAATACAGTCTTCCAAGTCACAATCTCAGTGACTCACTGCTTCTGACCTTCACCTCCTAAAGCACCTTCAGCTATAGAATCATTAGTGGCTTAGCCTACTGATGACTATTCCCATGTTCTAGTCACTTTCCCAAATCCTCACCTCTGAACACATGAGACTTCGAGGGGGGCATTTTAGATTTAAACCATAACATTCTACCCTTGGCCCCCCAAAGTCCCATGTCCATCACATTATGAAAAATGGATTTAGTGCATCTCTAAATGTTGCCTGTCATAACAATTCCAGCAATGCTGAAAAGTCCAGTCTCCTCTGACACTTAAGGCAAACTCTTACCAGTGAGCTCCTTTAAAAATTAAAAACAAAAGTTATATAATTCCAATACAATGACACAGGATAAACATTCTCATTCCAAAAAGGCAGAATGGGGGATAGAAAGGAATCGAACCAAAACCAGCAGGGCAAACGTTTAATCCTATAGCTCTATGAGTAGCACCCAGGGCAAGTTGTAGTGAGGTAGGAGTAGCAAAAAGCTAGGGCTGCTCTGCCTCTGTGGTTGTGTTGGTTGTGGCAGACATAGCTTTTCTTTTGGGGTGGTTTTGCCTTGTGCCTGTAGTTCTTCTCAGCAGATGTTCCATATTCCTGGCATCTCCAACTTCCTAGGTCTCCACTGCCCCCTCGATTTCCCTCTCATAGCTTTATGTACTTCCTTCTCTGTCCTGTCTTCTCAGTCTTCTTTTGCATTCAGGGTCGAAGCTCCAAGACTCCAGAACCCTTGGAT